GCCAATGTGAGATGGTGAGGTCAGTGCTGTGTGTGCTGCAGGATGGAGCTGCCTGTCCCTGTTCCAGCAGCATTCCCTGCTCCTGGAAGGGATGGTTTGATCCCTGGAAGCTGGAGGGTGACCTGCTCCTCTGTCCCTTGCAGGAGGAGCGGGAGAAGCGGCGCCTGGAGCAGCTGGAGCGCAAGAAGGAGCTGCAGCGGCTGCTGGAGGAGGAGGACTCCAAGCTGAAGGGGAAGTCACCCAAACAGGTCACTCCAGGGAAGGTCACCAGGGCCCAGATCGAGGAGACAATCAGGAAAGACCAACAGCAGAAGGAGAACACAGATACAGGTTTGGGAATGCCATGGAAAGGCCCTGATAGCTGTAGGGGATGGGAGTGGGATGAGGATGTTCCTTTTTCACCCACTGCTGCTGCACCACAAGGTGCTGGGTTTTTCTGAACCACAAGGTGCTTGGGAAGCAGGAGCTGCAGCAGCTATTCCCAGGCTGTAAAGCATTGGAAAAAAAAGCATTGGAAAAGGTTTCCCAGGAAGTGGTGGAGTTACCACCCCTGGAAGTGTTCAAGACCACATGGATGTGGCACTTGGGGACATGGTTTGGTGGTGAACGTGGTGGTGCTGGTTGACAGTTGGACTCAATGATCTCAAAGGTCTTTTCCAACCTGGATAATTCCATGATTCTATCCCCATGCTGGGGATAGAAATGTGGGAAGGAGAACCTTCCTGGCACCTCGAGCTGGAGCAGAGCTGCAGAGCCACAGCTCTTCAGGGCTGGGCCTGGACTCTGGCTGGAAACCTTCTCCTGGATGGGGTTACACAGGCTGGATTTGATGAGTATCCCTTTTTTCCCTTTCCCTGTGCAGTGGAGAAGGAGAAGACTCACCTGGAAGTCCCCTTGGAAGAGAACATCAACAGGAGAGTGCTGGAGGAAGGGTCAGTGGAGGCCAGGACGATTGAAGATGCCATTGCTGTGCTCAGGTGTGTGCCAGTGTCTCACCACCCTCCCAGGGAGAAAATTCTAATATCTAATTTAACTTTCCCTCTATCAATTTATCCCCATTCCCCTTTGTCCTGTTGCTGCAATTCCTAACCAAGTCCCTCTGAAGCTTCCCTGGAGCCCCTTCAGCTCCTGAGATCTCCACAAAACCTTCTCTTCTCCAGGCAGACCAGCCACAAATCCCTCCAGGGGAGATGCTCCAGTCCTCTTAACTTTGTGGCCTCCTCTGGAGTGGCTCCCAACAGTTCCATGTCCTTTTGATGTTGGGGACACCAGAACTGTGTGCAGCACTCCAGGTGGGACCTCAGCAGAGCAGAGTGGGGGGGGAAGAGAGTAGAGTAGAGGGAGAAGAGCATAGTGGAAGGGGAGGAGAGGAGAGTGGAGGGAGAAAAGACAGTTGAAGGGGAGGAGAACAGTGGAGAAGACCAGAGTAGAGGGGAAGGAGAGCAGAGTGGAGGGGGAAAATAGAGTGGAAGGGAAGGAGAGCAGAGTGGAAGGGAAGGAGAGCAGAGTGGAGGGAGAAGAGCAAAGTGGAATGGGAGAAAGAGCAGAGGGAAAGGAGAGCAGAGTGGAATGGGAGAAAAGCAGAATGGAGGGAGAAGAGCAGAGTGAAAGGAGAGCAGAATGGAATGGGAGAAGAGCAGAGTGGAAGGGAAGAAGAGCAGAATGGAATAGGAGAAGAGCAGAGTGGAAGGGAAGGAGAGCAGAGTGAACGGGGAGAAGACCAGAGGGGAAGAAGAATAGAGCAGAAGGGAAGGAGAGCAGAATGGAATAGGAGAAGATCAGAGTGGGAGGGAGGGAGAACAGAATGGAACAGAAGAAGAGCAGAATGGAAGGGAAGGAGAGCAGAGTAGAGGGGAAGGAGAGCAGAATGGAATAGGAGAAGATCAGAGTGGAAGGGAAGGAGAGCAGAGTGGAATGGGAGAAGAGCAGAGTGGAGGGAAAGGAGAGCAGAGTAGAAGGGAAGGAGAGCAGAGTGGAGGGAGAAGAGCAGAGGGGAAGGAGAGCAGACTGGAATGGAAGAAGAGCAGAGTGGAATGGGAGAAGAGCAGAATGGAGGGGAAAAAGAGCAGAGCAGAAGGGCAGGAGAGCAGAACAGAGAGGCAGAATCCCTCCCTTCCACCCTCTGCCATCCTCCTTCGATGCAGCCCAGGACCTGGTGGGTTTCTGTGCTGTGAGCTGACCCTGCAGCTGCCCCGGGCTGTGTGCCTGGTGCCAAGCTGTGCCCCCCTTGCCCCCGCAGCGTTGCCAACGACGCGGACAGACACCCCGAGCGCCGCGTTCGAGCCGCGTTCACTGCCTTCGAGGAGCTGCACCTGCCTCGCCTGAGGCAGGAGAACCCCAACATGCGACTGTCCCAGCTCAAGCAGCAACTCAAGAAGGAGTGGATGAAGTCCCCGGAGAACCCCATGAACCAGAGGCACAAAGCTTACAACAGCCAAAAGTAGAACTGGAGCTGCTCTTATCCCACCCTGGACTTAGGGTTTGGAGCCCAGCCCAGGGCTCTGCTCTGAGGAGGCACATGTGGAATCTCCTCCTCTCCTTTGGGTTTCCCTTCCCTGTCCCCACGTTCTCCTTGGATTGAAGAGAAGCACGAGGCCACCACCTGCCTGGGGACCCACGGCCTGGCCCCCCTGACAGACTAATGCCACCTTCCCCCTCCCAAATCCAGGTGTTCCCTGACAGAACCAGCTACTAACTTGCTTCCAGGCCTGCAGCAGGTCAAGGTGGGACCCTCGTGGTGGTCACCCCTGTGTGTCCCTCCCTCACAGACTGTCCCTGGCCCTGCCACTCCCTCCTGCTCCACAGGGGAGGTTGGAACCAGCACGAGGAAAGCACCTGCTCTGTGTTTCCAGTGTCACCCACAGTGCTGGGGTGTCCCTGAAGGGATTCCAGATTGGGATTGGTGTTGATCAGCTGCTGGACACCTCTCACCTCTTGATCCCAACCCCAGCGGGAGCAGGAGGAGGGTGGGAAGAGGGGAAAACCCCCTTCCCTCAGGGAGGAGTGAGAGAAATCCCAGCTCAGTGTGATTCCTGCCTGCTCCACGCAGGATCCTGGTGCCAGGCTGCTCCCTGTGCCATTCCCAGTGCCCCTTGGTACACAGGAGGGTTCCTGGAGGGGCTGCATCCCAAAATCCACCCTGAGAAGGGAATCTGCTGCTTCTCCCATCCCTTCTGCCCCTTCCTGATCCCATGGAATGTGTCGTGTGGGGCTGTGGAAGGGGAGGTGACACCAACCCCTTGTGCCACCTCTGCTCCCCTCAGCCACAGCCCTGGGGCTCAGCTCCCTTGGGAATGCCAGGTAAGCTCAATCCCCCAGCCCAGGGAGGAGTGACCCCCCATCCCTTCCTGTCAGGTTGCTGTGTTTGAACCCAATTAAAATCAAAGAGCCCCCAAATCCTTGGAAATTGGGGAAGGAATGAGTGGTGAAGGGTTGTGGGGGGAGGTTTTTTATGATTTGCCACGGTGGGGCTGTTTCTTCCCTTGGAACACCGCGGAAAATCCCTCTGGAGTTGGGTGTGTGGCTCCTGCCTGGTCTGGGGGGTCTCTTAGAGGGGTCCCCACTTTGTAACCCTCCCTAGAAGGTGGCTGAGCCGCAGAGCCTGATCAGGAGAATCCCCATTCCCGCTCATCCCTGATGCTGGAATAACCACGTGAGTGTTGTGCATCACCCCCTGACCCCCTCCCAAATCCCTGTGTGTGTCCCCCAAGTCCTGGGGGGCTCGAGGTGCTCCTCCCTGCCCTTAGCTGCTCCTTCCCTGTGCTGCAGAGGCTCTTGCTCAGCGCTGGCTTTGTGCAGCAGAGCCCACCCAGCCCCCCT